GTAGTTCCCCTATTACTATGTCATGTAATTATACAAGTAGAAAATGGATAGTTGATACTGGAGCATTACACCATATCACATCTGACCTTGGAATTCTAAACAAAGCTAGGGATGTGCCTGCACAAGGAGAAAGTAAAGTTCATTTACCAAATGGTAAAGCTGCATCAGTCACTCACATTAGAAGTACTTGTGTGTTGACAAATCAGCATATATCTAATGTGTTATTCTTACCTGACTTCATGTTTAACTTGTTGTCAATCTCAAATAATTACAATGCATAGTGTGTTTTTTTCCTAACTTTTGTCTTTTCCAGGACCTCTACACTGGTTTGGTGAAGAGGATTGGTAAGGAGGAACATGGTTTATACATACTACATGAAGGTCCAAGTCAAGCTCCAAGTCAGCTGGTCAATTGTAGTATAACTAAGTTTGTTAGTTCTGTTACTCAGTCTGAGTCTAATAGTATATGGCACAAAAGATTTGGTCATGCACCTATTGATGTAATAAAGAAGAATGAGTGTCTTAAGACATTAGCAAGTAGTGATCAACTTCATTGCACTGTTTGTCCTCTAGCTAGACATGTTAAACTTTCATTTCCTACAAGTACTCACAAGACTAATCATGTATTTGAATTGTTGTGTTGTGATTTGTGGGGACCTTAAGAGTTCCTACCTATAATGGAAAGAGATTTTTTGTTACTATTGTGGATGACTTTAGCAGGTATACTTGGGTGTTCCTAATTGCATCCAAAGCTGACACTATAGTGGTACTCAGACACTTTCTTAAACAGGTCCAAAATGTGTTCTCTGCCATTATTAAAACTCTGAGAACAGATAATGCTTGTGAGCTTTTTAATGGTGAGGTTCAGACTTTACTAAGTGAACTAGGAATTGCTCATCAGAGTACTTATGTCTATATACCACAACAGAATGGTGTTGCTGAAAGAAAGCATAAAACCATTCTTGCCATGGCAAGATCTCTCAGGTTTCAAGTCTCTATACCACTCAAATACTGGGGTCACTGTGTCTCCACTGTTGTGTATCTTATCAATAGGCTTTCTTCTAAAGTATTGACCTATAAGTCTCCCTTTGAAAAACTATATCTTCACTCTCCATCATTATCTCATCTGAAGACTTTTGGGTCCCTATGTTATGTTGCATGCCCCAAAAAATTTTATAAGTTGTCTTCCATGGCCATTCCTGCAGTGTTTATGGGCTATTCATCCACACAGAAAGGATATGTCATATATGATATTCATGCTTATAAGTTCTTTGTGAATAGGCATGTTGTATTTCAAAAAGATTTGTTTCCTTTCAATCACATGCAAGCATCCTCAAATCCCATGTTTCCTGTCATTGACCTTATCTCACCAATTGATTCTGAGTCAGTGTCACTGCCTACTATGACTCATGTAAACATGGATTTTGAGTCATCAGTTATGCCTTCTGAATCACCACCTCATATAATTCCTATTCCAATTCCTCCAGCAAACATCATTTATAGTTGCAGGACTTTGTTACACAACCCAAAGCAAAAGCTAGCTCTTGTCTCTATCCATTAGCCTCTCATCTCACTTACTCTCATCTACCCCCCCTTATAGTCAAAACCTACAAGCTTATTCAGCTATATCTGAATCAGTGAACTTCAAGGAGGCTGTTGTTAATCCTGTTTGGGTAAAAGCTATGAATGAGGAAACTGCAGCTCTAGAGTCTAATAAAACCTGGAGCATTGTTGATCTTCCACCTGGCAAGGTACCTATTGGGTGCAGGTGGATCTATAAGATAAAATTTATATCCTTAGGAGAAGTTGAGAGATTCAAGGCCAGGCTAGTAGCTAAGGGGTTCAGTGAGAGAGAAGGTCTTGACTATGGAGAAACTTTCAGTCCAGTTGTTAAGATGGTCACTGTGAGAGCTGTGGTAGCTCTCTCTAAAGGATGGTATATTTAGCAGATAGATGTGCACAATGCCTTCTTTAATGGTGATCTCAATGAAAAGGTGTACATATAGATTCCTGATGGATTTGCAAACCAGGAGGGAAGCAAGAAGGTGTGCAAATTACATAAGTCCTTGTATGGCCTAAAACAAGCACCTAGGCAATGAAATTTGAAGCTAACTGAGGCATTGGTGCAGATGGGATTTACACAGTCACTTTGACTATTCACTCTTCACTAAACAGGCTAAGGGTGATATTATGAAAATGTTAGTGTATGTGGATGATCTTCTGATTACTGGGAGCAACTCTCAACAATTATGCAAGACTAGACATGAAATTCAAACCAGCCTCAAGATGAAAGATCTAGGTGAACTCAAACTATTCCTTGGAATTGAGTTCTCTAGATCTAACAGGGGTATTTTGATTACACAAAAAAAGTATGCTTTGGAACTAATTTCAAAGTCTGGGTTAGGAAGAGCTAAACATGTCTACACACCACTAGAAATGAATCAAAAACTCACTTCTATCAAGTATGATGAGCATGTTAATGACACAGACACAAGGACTAACAGTGATGATCTACTTCAAAATCCTACAAGGTATCAAAGACTAGTAGAAAGACTTCTCTATCTCACTATGACAAGACTAGATCTTGCCTTCACTGTACATGTACTAAGTAAATTCATGCACTCTCCTAAACAGTCACATTGGGAGGCTGCACTAAGAGTGGTGAGATATATTAAGGAAGCACCTGGTTCAGGATTATTAATGCCATCTGATCAAACTGCACAACTTATTGCTTATTGTGACTTTGATTGGGGAGGATGTATGGAAACTAGGAGGTCAGTCACAGGATACCTTGTGAATTTTGGAGGTGTTTTAGTGTCATGGAAGTCTAAGAAATAGTGTCAAGGAGTTTAGCTGAGGCAGAGTTCAGGAGCATGGCTACTTGTGCAGCTAAGCTCACTTGGTTAATAGGCTTGCATAAAGAGCTGAGAGTATGTGTAAATCTTCATGTGCATATGATGTATGATAGTAAGGGAGTTATTCAAATAGTTGCAAATCCAATCTTCCATGGGAGAACTAAACACATATATTGATTGCCATCTTGTGAGGGAAAGAATTTGCCAAGGAATGCTAAAAACTGAACACATCAGCACTAAACATCAACTGCCTGATTTACTGACTAAAGGTCTGGGAAAGATACAACACAACTTGTTGATGAGCAGACTTGGGATGACTAATGTGTTCCAACCATAAGCTTGAGGAGGAGTGTTAACTAGTGTAAATGGTTAGCAAGCTAGATGGTTGAGTTAGTTAACTAATTAGCTAGAGTCAGTTAGAAATATAGACAGCTGACATTAGTTAGTTACAAGCTCATGTGATTAGTATAAATATACACAGTGTACAAATTCAATGTATCAAGTTACACAATTCAATCTATACAATTTATTTCTTCCTCTCTTACACTATTGTAAAGCTTAAAGCTCCAACTATGGAGCTATCAATATTCTCGAACTATATATTAACAATCTTAAAAATACTAATTTACTTGACTAATTGAAGTTAAATACACCCCCAAACTTGCAATATGAATGAAATGCAACCTTAAATTATCACCAAATTTACGGATATTTTCAACACTTGTCTCAGCTTTTTATTAAAAATCGCATGCTTCTACAAGGGGTTTGAGATCATTTACTCATGTGACCGAACATGAATGCATCTAAGTACAGTTAGTCAAGTAGATAAATATTTTAAAGGCCAAAGTCATCTGCAACCCCTTAAAGTTGTCCGCATATTTCACTTAGACACTTCAACTATAATTATTACCAATTGAACACTTGAATTGTTGAAAAAGTATACCTATTAAACACAAAATGTTGATGTGGCAAAAGAAGTGTACTACATTTTTGCTGAGCGCGTGAAAAATCTTAAATAATGTTTTATTTTTATTTTTTTCCAAAAAAAACTTAATACTTTTTCTTCTTTGAGTGTCACTTGACATTTAAATAATTTAATTAAATATATATATATATATATATTTAAAAGTAATAAAATTCTTAAAACAAAAGAAAAATCCCCCACCCCACCCCTGTACGTCATCTTCTGCACGGAGAAGACCACTGCCTCCATTTTTTTCCCTTTTTTTTCTATTCTATTTCTTTTCAATACTTATTAAAAAATAAAAATTGAATCAGCTAATTAAATTTGAAAGAAAAGAAGAAGAAAGAACAGACTGAAAAAAGTTAGCCGATCGACGTCAATTTCGGTCACCTTCGAACAAATATTACCATTCAAATTAAAATATAAATCCACTAAAATTATCAAACATAATATCAAATTGATTCAATAAAATTAATTTAGGTCCTCTCGATTTCTCTTTGTTATCGATCTCAAAACGATTGACAAACTCTCTTTCTTCATCACTCTTGTATCCGTCTCTTTGAATATATCTCTCTCACGTATAAGGAATAAAAAATAATTATGTAAGCAATTAACAAAGAAATTGAATTTTGTCCTTTGAGAAAGAAAATCTTGCTAGGAAGAAGATGAAGAAGAAAGGGGGCTGGGTTAGGGTTGGACTCTCATTTATTTTTATTTTTACAAAAAAAATAGATGAAAAATTTATTTGAAATAATTTTCATTCTTTTTAACATAAAATTCTTTTTTTTTCTATAATTGTTGGGCCCAAACGCCACATGTTACCTTTTAATTAATCATTTTGCCACATCACAACAAGTGTATTACACACACTTTATTTTATTTTTTTATTGTCGAAAAATGTCTAATAGAAACAAGTTTTGAGTAAATAAAAGTGTCCAATAGGTACTAGCCCTAGTTAAGGTGTCTAAGTGAATTATGCGGACAACTTTAAAGAGTTAGAGATGACTTAAGCCTATTTTAAAGGTAGTTAGAGTAGAAACTAAATGTTTTCAATACTCTCTCGAAAAAAAATTAAGAAAGAAACTCACTTGTTTTTTTTGTTTGTTTTGTTGTGTGTATTTTTCAAAATGAAACGTTTAGGTGACCCGCGGGTGACTCTATACTCGTCTGCTTGGATAAGATAAAGGGACAATTCCGATAAACCCTCAACACTTTACTCTGCTCTTCAAGGGTTTTAGAACCAATCTTCCTATTTTGCTTCTAGAAATCTAAAACGAAAAGTGGTAAGTATGCATTTCTATTAAACCTCTTTTAAATGGTAGATGCACCATTTCATGAATTGATTCTTGATTCTATTGAGTGAATGAATGTCATTTTGGTTGCTAATTTTTCTCCTTTTTCGTTTTTGTTCATAGCTTGGATAGATGGCAACCCTTTTCTTGCTTCTTTCTTTCACTTCAGTTTGTATAAGCAGGTGCTTGACTTTGACTACTGAGTTTAGATGTTAATTTGATTCTGTGATTTATTTTTGCGGTAATGGAGGATCAAAAGTTTGTTTGATAGAGTCCTCACATGAAAAATTGAAGTATTTGAAATGTGATAAATGAAAAGTATAACAAGAATTGATATTTTCCATAATGAAAAATGACACACTTGAACCTAAGGTCTTTTGGAAACGGCCTCTCTACATCCACGATGTAGTATTAAGGTTTGCGTACACTTTACCCTCCCCAGACCCCACTTAGTGGGATTTCACTGGGTATGTTGTTGTTGTCGGTATTTTCCAAAATGAAAAGACTTTAGGAGTATAAGTGAGAGTGACAATTTTGTTGGAAGCCATTGTGAAATCTGGTAAATATTTCATGTTTGCAGTTGCCAGAACTGCTGCTGGAAACCTTAAACTCTACATTTTCTTTGACGTGGGTGCTTCCCAATAGGTCAGTTTGATACCGTCTGGATGCTACCCAGAAAAATTGGTCTTGAATGGTCTATAACTTAAATTTTCTCATCTTCTTTTGGAAACAAAGAGACCAGCCAATTTCTTCAGAAAAAAATAAAAAGATGTTTCTTTTGGTTAAATCAGGTCAAGGCAACTTACTATTATGAATTCAACTACAGTTGGACAGAAGCAGTTAGTGTGTGTGTGTGTGTGTTTTATATAACACTTGACTAAACAGATTTGAGATGACTGCAGAACTTGCTATAAAATGTTCCAGATATATGATATTTGTTAGTTGGTAATACCTTAAATACAAATGAGAAAGCTTGAAAGAAGCGCAAGTTAGGGCTGTGAAAGTACTTTTTTATTGATATTCCTACTGGATCATCATAATTCATATATCTTGCAAAATATTTGTGTGCTGTTGTGCGAGTAATTCTACATACCTGTTTTTCTCTCGGACATTGTTTTGAAGGATACACAGTGATTGCTTGTATTTAATTGACTTTCTTTAAACTAACTCCTGCTAATGTTGTGTAGCTGAGGCTGGCTCATTTTTCTTGTGATAGCAATACAATATAGAGGGTGTCATATGGCGAGTCTCATAACTATGCCTGCTTTAAGCCACTTATCCACTAACACTATCAGCCTAGAACGAAGAAATTTATGTGCATCCTCCAGGAGATGTCTAGGAGTTAGGGCAATGATGACAGAAAAACCACTGGAGGATCTGTATCATGTGAGAGTAGAGAGAAATGTGACAAAAGATCGACTAATAGAGCTTGGAGTTCAACGATGGTCAATGTGGAAAACCGGCAAATGCAAGTTACCTTGGGATTGGCATGTAGACCAGTTGGTTTACATTGAAGAAGGCGAAGTAAGGGTGGTACCTGAAGGAAGCAAAAGATTTATGCAGTTTGTGGCAGGAGACCTTGTCCGGTATCCAAAATGGTTTGAAGCTGATCTCTATTTTAATGACTTCTACCAAGAGCGATATAGATTTCAAGCATATGGAGATGACCAGTGAATCAATTTCCTACAACTAAGCTCATAAAGTTACTTAATTCCCGGGCTTCTGGTTACTGCACTTGCTAGTTATCTGTTTCATAAGCATATTCAGATTGTTGTTGTAATACAAATGGTAGAACATGGTCTTTCTAAATGGTAAGGTGGCCAGATAACATTCAATTCATTAGTGGTATGAATGATTATCTTTGCACTTTGCCAATTCCGACATAGATCTTGTCTACAACCTTCCGTCATCTCCTCTCTTGGATGATAAACGTTTTTGCCACCAGCTAGGATATCTTTCAGACATAAAAAGATACTGCAAGCTGTTTGTTCATCATCATTGTTACATTGGGAGATTTGGTCCGAATGTGTTGGTATCAGATTGTCAAGTTAAAATACCAACACTATTATCATTTTCCAGTTACTTTGAGATTGTTTTTCATAATAGTGCACTCTGCATAATGCATATGGCTTTTTATCTTTAAGCTGTACTTTTTTCTGCCCTGTGGACAGCAAGGATAAGCCATCCTGATGCTGCTAAAAATCCTGCTATCATATCTCTAATATTGTTGATGGCGTCTTGAAGTTTCCGAGGTATGTGATTATTTGTCAAAATCCAATCCACCAAAAGAAGTGAATCACATTCAATCTCTGTATTCCTCACTCTATTTGTCATACACCATTCCACACCTGTTTTCATAGCCATAGTTTCTGCATAATTATTGGTTTCAATTCTCAGAGGCATGGCATACGCTATTCTTAATCTTCCACACTCGTCTCTGATAATGCCACCCCCGCAACATTGCCCTGGATTGCCTTTCGAACATCCATCAGTATTTAGTTCCATCCATCCTGCCTCAGGTGTTAGCCACTTCACTTCTTCAATAGTTGTACTAATCTTGGCCTTCATCATAAGATCGATGAAATGGATCCATTTCATATAAGGAGGAATATTGGGGAATTGTTTGTGAGCATTGATGTTGATTTGTTGAGTGACTTTCAAGATGATTCTGCTGGAAGACATCTTCATCCTTTCAAACCTGCATTTACATCTTGCTTTCCAACAGCTAATAAGTTCAGGCAGAACCTGTAAAGTTAGTTTGTGGACAGGATTGAGATCCCTTTCCATCCACCAGGTAATCAATCTATGCCTAAGACATTCTTGATCCATCCCAAATACCAAAGATTTGGTTAAAATAATTCCAAACAGTTTTGCCAACAAGACCATTCATGAATAAATGTTCTTCATCTTCCAAAGCAGGAATTATACAACAATCACATTTAGGCGCCAAAGTAAGATTAAATTTACATTTAGGTGAATCAGGTGATCAACTTGATCTCTGATTTGCATTAACCTCCTCTAAGTGTGCGAGTGTGTATAGTTCCATTTTCTAGGCATTAGATGAATTCTTTGAGAATATTTAGCTCTCATGAATATAGTCCATAGAGTATCTTTTGTTCTGAAGTGCCACCAAAGCTTACATGATAATGCATCTACAATGTCTTCTAGTTTTCTAATACCAATACCACCTTCCTGAGTAGGTTTACAGAGACTCTCCCATTTGGTCCAATGGTATTTTTGTTTCCCTCCAGAGTTTCCCCAGAAAAAAATTGTGAGGGCCTTCTTGATTTAAGTTAGAATGGTACTGGAAGGTTCACATATTGATGGCATTGCTGAGAGTACATGGATGATCAAAATTCTTTTCCCTCCTGTAACTACATGTTACAATTCCAAGAACTCATTCTTTGAATAATTTTGGTGACCATATATGTGAAGTAGTGTACTCTCTTCTTTCCATAGAACAAAGGGCATCCTAAATAGTTGATTGGGAACTCTTTCTGCTGATAGTTAAGTATTCTAGCCACAATGTTACTTCTCTTTTGAGGGGCATTATCTTCCAATAAGAAAACAACTTTTGCTGATGTTGATGAGTTGACCAGAATTAGATTCATAGTCACTCAAAGTCTTCTTGATGAGATGCAAAGTAGCTGACTTACCTGCACAAAAGATTATTATATCATCAGTATAAGATAAATGATTTATCTTAGGGCATGTCGAGTGCATATGAAAAGCAATAAGATTTGGATTCTTAAATAAGTTATTTAACATACTAGATAAAACTTCAGCAGCAATCACAAATAGAGAAGGAGATAAAGGGTGCCTCTGTTTGACTCCTCTCCCGGATTTGAAAAAACCATGTCTTTAGCCATTTACAATGACTGTATACCAGTTGTTGGAAATCAGGTTCCAAATGATAACTATCCATTGCTCTGCAAAACCCATTTTCCTCATTACTGCACATAAGAAAAACCATCATAAGCTTTGTTCATATCTAATTTAATTACTATGTAGTTTCCCTTAATAGGTTTTCCAATGTCATGGAAGATTTCTTGAGCTAGTAGCACATTTTCACTCTAATAGTTCTACCTTTAATGAAATCGCTTTGATTGTCCGAGATTAAGTTGGGCAGAATTTTCTCGAGTCTATCATTTAAAACTTCAGACACCAATTTTTGAGAAACGTTACTATTAAAGCCATCGGGACTTGCTGAGCTATTATGGTCGATATCAAAAACTGCATTTTTAACTTCTTCCATAGTAGGTATAGCAAGTAACATGGCATTAACAGAATCAGAAATCAAACAAGGAAGACAATTAAGGATACTGCCATCAAATCTAAATAAATTCTAATAAAATTTCACAGCTTCTACCCTTGACAATGTTGTGAAAGAATCTAGTATTTTCATCTCCCTCTAATTGCAGCCTTTTGTTTCCAGAAGGTATCAAACATTTTGTTTTGGAGGGACCAGCTCTGCCTTGGCATGATTGAGAATCATTCTATCTTCTTGATCCATAGTGGTCGTGTAGTAAGCTTCCAGTTGATCGACCTCTGTTTCCAAGGCTTTAGTATTTGCAAATATATCTCCAACTTTATTTCTGGACCATTCACTGAGGTCCTTTTCATCTTCTGGTGAACTCTCCAAATATTTTGTTTCCATTTATCCCAGTACTGTTTCTTCACAATATCATAATATTCTTTTTTTTCAACCCAAAAATTTAAAATATTTGACGTAATGATCTTCCTCTCCTTCATAAGCTGTCATGAGTATAGGGCAATGATTAGAACTGGCCCTTGTGAGGTGTTGAAGGGATGTTTTGGAGAAACAAGAGTTCCAATCTCCATTAGCAACCAATCTATCTAGTCTCTCTTCCAAATAGTGTCAGTGCCTTTCCGTTCATTGCACCATGTGAAGGGGTGACCAAAGTATCCCATATCATCTAAATCACAGTCAAAAAGGCATTCCATTAATGGCAAGCTCTTGTATAACCTATGTGGAATTCCTCCGAGCTTCTCTGCAACATTTAGAATACTGTTGAAATCACAGCCCATGGATTGGAAATAGTACTAGCAAAAGCTCTCATTTCTCCTCAAAGTTCTTCCCTCCCAGATTGTCTTGTTTTAGCATAACTATAGAAATGTAGAACTCTTTATTGAAATCGTTGGTGGTAAGTTTATAAGTAAGCATCTGGACATGATTGGCACAATTTAAATCTGCCCTCCAGAATATCCATATCTTGTTGCTTAAGTTAGCATAACTTCCTTGCATATTCAGACTACTCTTATATGCAAGATTCTTGTAAAAATGGCTCTTGTAGCGCCACAAAAGAAATGTTATGATGTAGATTAATCTCTTTTGGTTTCTTGTCACCGGAGACTTTTTCTTTGAGAGTAATTTGCTAGATATTTCTTGTTTATCAATATTCTCTTCTCGTGCATCTTGAAATATCTCAATCTCGTGAACGTTTCCTCCAGAAGCTTGAGTTCATCAGTTGTATCCTCATCTATTTCTTCTTCGGAGGTTTCTGCCTCATCAGTACGTAGATGTTTCCTCAGCCCACTCATCTACAGTTGAGTATGTTCTGTGCTTGTTCCTTCTCCCTCTCACTTCGTTTTGTACTTTGAATACTCCTCTGATCAGTGCTAAGGAACTCAAATTTATTCGTATATTTGGAAGAGCTCTGGTGTGCTGAAATTTTCTTTTTCGGAGTCAACCATTGTTGTTCTGTTACTTCTACCATTTTTCCTTGTTGAGATACTTCCTGTACAACATTTTGGTCAGTGATAAGACTTTGATTTATCCCTTCTTTATTGCATTGCTTTGGCTAGGCTGATCCGAATCTTTTTCGTCAGTATTGGAATTTGGACTCTGTTTATTTCCTTCTCCGTTGCTAATCTCTTTAGTTGTAGAGCACAGTTGCTTCATCTGGTGGAATGTAACTTCTTTTCTCTTTTCCTTTGTCACCTCATTTGTAGGATGAGGCTTATCAATATAGGTCTGTTTAGGAGGGGCACTTTTACCTCTCGGAAGAATAGTGTTTCTTCCCTTTTTAGTTTGTACATCTCTCTCTACCTCTTTGTGTTGCTTGTTCAGTCTCAGTAGGACTACTTTTTTGGATCTCTTGGTCTTTTGTAGTAGTCTCTTTCCCAGCGTTCAGTGCATCCTTTTCTTCTTGTTTCTTTTCCAATTTTCTACATCGATATAGAGTATGACCTTGATGAGTACAAAACAATAATTGGGTTACACCTTCATATTCTATTTTTTGGTCAGGGGTTTACAGAATTTCTTTGTCCAACAAAAATGTTATTTAGCCTAGGATTGGTAAGATCAATTTCAACTCGAACCTTGGCCATACTAGGTCTAGTCCTACCTTTCGTGGCTAAATCCATTGCTATCAGAGTACCTATAATCCACAAACATCAAAGCCCACACAGAGAGTGAGTTCCGCAGTGGAATTTGGAACTCTACCACAGTGACTATACTTCGATGACATAGCCAAAGAGTGGCCAGTGGGTGCTATTTCATCGAGCTAAACTAGCCGTGTGAGCCAGTTTGAGGTCCCAAATGTATAATCCACAAACATCAAATCATTATGTAAATACCAATCACCAAACTGATATTTCCATGAGTGATGGAGTAACTGATTACCTTCACAAGTTCCTGGAACAATCAGAGAAGAACCCATAGATGCTAATTGTTGAATTGCAAAAAGAGCATAAGAATACCAAAGTAATATTTCTTTTTTTGATAAATATAACCAAATAACTATTTATCTGAAATCCCAAGAGCCACTAGATCTGAGACCTTAAAACATTTATAATACAAAAGCAATGAGTCGAGCACCTGCCCCCTTCTCACAGCCCAAAAAGAGCATAAATGGAGAAAAATATAAGAGAAATTTGGTATCCACAAAAACCATTATCACCTTCATCATCTTGCTGCTAAGCTTAACACGCCATGGATATGGCCACCAAGTAACAAAATACAATTCTGGGGCCTTCATCTATGGTTCAACTACCCAAATTTGTCGTTAATTGGTGCTGCTGTCAATGACAACAGAGGAAGCAAGTCTTGAGATGAGCACAGCTTCATTACTCACAAAGTTGGATGCTGCTACATCTTCTAAGCGTTTCCAGGTCAATTCACGCCTCTCCTGCGCCTCCTTATCTTTTATATCATCTTCTTTGAATTTCTCTAAACACTCATCAAAAAGTGCTTGATCAGCATCTGAAAAGATCTTCCTTACGTTCAACGTCAGACTTTGAACAGCTTGGTTCCAATGACCACGGGTGTTTTTCTCCAAGAGTGGAAAAATTAAGGGTAAAATCACTTCACAATTCTGAACTATTAGATTTCTTATGTGATCGTTATTCCACAGGAACAGAGCACGTTCAGCTACCTGCCAGTTTATGGAAAATGGAGACATTCAAAAGTAGAATAGACTTAATATAGATAATGATTCCAGAAATAACAAGTAGACAATTTGTTTCCAACAGGAAAGATAGTTAAGGTTTATTATGAGGTTTCTTGCAAACAAGAAGTCAGTGTATGCATTTACCAGTTTCAAAAAAAAAATCAGTGTATTTGGACATTTCTCCAACATAAAATTAGGGTAACTTTGCAGGGGTGAACTTCATAAGTTATCATTCTGTTCACAAAGAATGCATGCTGCTTGATATTGTCCCTCCAGACTCCAGCAATTAACTTATGAGATAAAATCCATTAAGAATCAGACGTGGAATCAAACTTCGGGACAAATCAGGAAAATGGATAAATGGCATTGTTAAAAGGATTAGGACACCTAGTAGAACAATACAAATGGACCATGAGCAAAATATGAATGAGGCATAGCGGCAAAAGCATTTGACTAACAATTTATAAGATTTTTTAGATTGAACACTGGAAAAAGATAGGGAAGGCTAAAATATCCAAGCTAAGCTGTTCAGATCTTAATTCAAAGTGGTTTTTCTACAAGGTAAAATTTTATTGATGTAGTGGGGAAATTTCCAGGTAAATGAGGTTTTCTAAAATAGCCAAATCTATACCAAGGGGAGCTCATAGATGCCCCAAAAAGTAAGTATAAGCAAAAGGCATACCAAAGAGCTCTTCTATTTCTGTATGTCCATATGACCCACATAAGGGCCAAAGAGGCAAGGGGGTTGCACCCCAAGCTCTGCATCTCAACTTTAAAGTGTTTCAAGGTGATGAATCCTCCATTATGACAATGATTTCCAGCTCACATGTGGTAGTCGAGAAAATAGTTCTCATTGTCAAACAGTATAAATGACAAAAACAGTGTGAAACTGGCATCGCGATACTGTGTTCAATTCCTTTTCTTTTTTTTTGAGATAAAGGTAACTGCTGTGTTCAATTCCTTTGTTTGGCATTCTACAGAAAGAGAATGGAAGTGGGGTCTAGGAAGGGTAGAGTGTACGCAAATCTTACCCTACCTCAGAGGTAAAGAGGCTGCTTCCGGCAGACCCTCGGCACTTGTTCCAACCAGGTTTTAGAATCTTGTTTCCATTTTACTCACTCAAGCAATTCCACATACTGACTAGATTTGGCATTATTCATTTACTTCTTTTCTCTTTGGGATATCTTTCCTAGTTAACCAGAAGAGCATAAAGGTATTCCCTTTTCCTCTATAGCTGGAATGGTGTTCCACTTAGATTGACACTCTATCAACCTTAAATACTAGAGAACATCAGAATGGAACTGTGGAAACCCAACCAAGGATTTATAACACATAAATCGCAAAGGAGATAGGACTCTGACTGCATGTTGTTGCTATAGAACTCATAAATCACTAAAAGAAATAGTTTTATGGGAATAAAGAAAACACCAAATACTGCTTACTGTCCCCTTTTCCCACATAGATTTGACTCATCCACCCATGGGCCATGGCAAGCAATACTTTTACATTTCTCTTACTAGTTTGTGTTTAAAGTTATAACGCAAGCATCTTCATCAGCTTTCCTTCTATTTCTAAAAGGCTATACACCCTCTTTCTCATTTAATCTTACCTGCTTTCTTTCGTTCGTTCATTTCGAATTGGAAGTCTTACCTACCTTCTATTTTACTCCATCATAGCAAATTAACTTCTTTTATAAATGCCAAAATTAACATTTCCTATTATGGCAATACTCTACACAAAGTGGTAGCAATAATAGTAGTAGCGCAGCTACAGTACAGAAGTAGTAAATTGTTCTAGCTTCTGCCCATAATTGCACAGCTTCTCATCTCCAAGATGTGAAAAGTTGGTGAGCTGAACACTTCATGTGGCTTTAATCAAACTTCTTTGGTGATAACAAGGAAAAAGACATACACGCTGAAACTCAAGAAAGGAACTTGTGTCTTATGTTCTCAATACAGTAACCAGAGAATGACAAGGAAATTAAAACTTATATTCCGCTTCCAGTGAATGGCCATAACCGAGAATCATCCTTGTTCAATCTTTCCTGCCCATTGCTGGAAAACTAATGTTAAAGTAAAAATAAAAGCATGTAAATAGTGTCTATGGAAGCCATCCATCAACATATAATATGCCTAGGTTAATGGATATAGGCCTGATCCTTATCGGGAAAAAGTAACTAATTAATTTAAGTCTTAGCATCACAAATAGCTCCTGAATAATCTGTGTGTGTGTCTATACCTATGTGTGTGTGTGTGTGTGGGTTAACCTGTGTGTCTGTGTCTATTGGTACATAAGAGATCCCTAAACTCTGATAACCTGCTGAGGCAAGCAGTGAGAGCTTGAAGTGAGTGACCATTTCCTCTATACTTGGTCAATCTACAAATCTTTTAATATAGACTCTTCAGTAAACAAAGCTTGATAGGTAGACTGGTTAATCTCTGTTTCCAGCCACATATTTCTCAGCCAATTTGCTAATTTGGCTTGAGCTATATTTGATGTCCAACTGATTTACAACTGTAACTAACATTTTAACTCAGCCTAATTGTTTGAAGTCGAAACTACTCTTGTTGTGTATCTAATTAAACTGAAGTCAGCATCTCTTTCTGTCCTTCGCCTTTCATATGATTGACGATATATAGATATATCACTTGTCCAATCATAAGGAAAAGAAAATGCTTATTAACTAAAAAAATGGTGACATGCATCTTCAGCCAGTCAAAAGAAAGTAATAAAATCTTTTTAGACCAAAAAAGAATACTCGAACAACAATAAACATACACCAGTATTTCAACTTTTTATGTTTCGCAGCAACCAGATATGTTCAGTACACCAAATGGAATACCCCGTCATTTCTTCTGTAATATCTTTCAGAATTAAGCTGCAGTGAAATTATAGTTTCATCCATGCAGATACTGAAGATATGTATCGTTCATGGCATAGACCAATCTCAATATCCAACAGCAAATTTGTCATTGGATCAGCTTATTCTAATAAATAAAATGAAGAGATAAGTCATCATCCTCTCCTCCAAATATTTACTGAACCCAAACTCCAATCTGAGAATTTGTAAAGCACAGGAAACCCAAAAGAGGTCTTTATCTAATGAAGCATCAAACTTGAAAGATAGTTTGAGCTTCAAATTGCCAAAAAGATGGAAGGTAGAAACAGGGAGCAACCAAATATAAACTGAGAAGTTCGAGCTAGCAAAAGATGGGAATCAACAGAATCAGAATATGATACCTGAAAATGAGAGCTGTTGAGACAACGACCAATCTGACGGAACAAAGGGACCATGCACCGTTGAAACTCTGCAGCTTGGGTAGCTTCCAGAACCTCCTCCAACTCACCAAGAAACATGACCTCCTTGCCACTATTGGTGACTGGCCAGTACTTCAGAAGTCCTCTGATCACAATGTCTGACAACTTAAAGTCTTTCTCCACAAACTGTGTGATGCAATACATGAGTTGGTGGTGGTACATGGCTACGCATTTAGGTTTGTGAAGGGGAATCAATGCACGGACAAGAAAAAGCTTGTGCTCTTCCTTTAAAGGCAGAGCAAATCCATTGATTATACTGCCCAAGATCTCCAGCAATTCTGCAATTCCATTGTGCTTCTCAGTCTCAAAGATAAAACGGTAAAATATATTATTTATGGCTTTCCTGATAAATGGCCTATGCACCATGAACTTCCCATATACACGATGAAGAATTGTTTTCAAGTACTCGCGCTCCCGTTGGTCCTCTGAATCAAACAGTTCAAGCAATCTCAAGACAAAAGAGTGGTCAACGTATCTTTTTGCAAGCTTAGCATCCGTCTCTGATGAAGCCACAAATCGCAAAAGAAGCTCATAAACAACCTGAAGGTGAGGCCACGAGGGTTCCATCGTGGGCTCATCCTCTTCTGGATCAAACATATCTAGTAGCCCGTTGTCATGATTAAACGAGGGTAATGTCCTAAACAAATTGGCAGCAACCATTTTCGTTAATTCTTGCATTGTGACTTCATTAAACTTGGAACTCACAGCTGAAATATAATCAACTAATTCAAGCAATGTCTGCCTCTTGACATCCTTCTCCTTCAGATTCTTCGTCGGGTCGCTAAAATCAAACAGCACACAACACATTTGTAGCTTCCTAATCAAAAGATTTTGCTTTTCTGAGCTTGGGGCTTCTCGAACACTTGGTAGAACCTCATAAGATAAAACAGAGTTTGTAACAGAGGGTCCCACCTGTCCATTAACCCGAACTGATTTTTTTCCTTGATTCGGCTTCACCGGGACATGATTCCCATTACTAGTGATCTCATACATACCGGAACTTGTTGAATTTAATGTTTTCCCCACATTTCCTGAACCCTTTGAGTTATTACTACTATCAGTAACACTATAACTGTTGGAATTAAAGTTCACCGATGAGAATGGTGAAACTTCATTTTGACTTGAGTCGTTAGGAGATGATGATGATTTTGACGGCTTCCTAGGAAGCTTCCCCAAAATCTGTTTAATCATGTCCACAACCCCCACCCAACCCAACCCAACGCTATCCCACACTAGAACTACACAAAATGTAGGGGATATACACTGCTAAAATTACAACCCTATACGAAAGTAATCCTATAAATTGAAACAAACCACAAGCTTAACAAGCCATACCTTGATGAATTAGCGAGAAATTCAAAGCAGTTATCGAAATGGCTCGAATTTCCAGTCCGGAATTTGAACATACATCCTGGCCGAAATATTTACCGCCGGTAGGGTTTGCGATCGGCGAAATGAAGAAAACTAGAAAATGGATTTTGCCAAGGAATTTGAATTTGGAAAACCCTAGAATTTTGAACTGGAGAGTGATAAGGGAAATGATGGAATAAAATTTATTTTAATTCTTTTTATAGAGGGGGGAAATTTATATGGCGTTAAAAGCAATAGTGCACGAACACAACATAGGGCCCACATACCCGACCTGTGTTTTTGGTAAACACACATTGTTCGAACCTGTCATCTCATAGTATTTCAAATAATTCAAATTAAAAAGTTTTCACGTCATGAAGTAGTGATAAAGAACACGCAGTTAACCTATGATTATAAGTAGAAGCATTGACCAAAATAAGCTATTTTAAAAACCAATTCACCAAACTAATACGCTTTTTAAATTTTTTACAAAAGTAGTATAAACGTACTTCATGGTAACGTTTTAGGTTATTTTTATTTTAAAAATTCAATGGACAAAAACTGACGGAGCTGACGACGTTAAATGAATAAACGTTACTGTGAGTAACGTTTTAGGTGTAAAACGTTACTCACAATAACGTTTATTGAGAACCCAATCACGTCAACCCTGAATCAAATCCTGCAAATTTAAAACGTTACTCACAGTAACGTTTTAAGTGTAAAACGTTACTCACAGTAACGTTTTAGGTGTAAAACGTTACTATTTTACTAAGAATCCAATCACAGGTCTTCGACTCCTGCAAATTTAGAATAAATCCTGTAAATTTAGCTATAAAATGTTACTCATATTATGTTAAGTTCTTACTATAGCTTTAAAATTATTTTTCTAATTTATTAATTTTATTTTAAACAATCTCTTAATAATATGATAAACTTAACTTATTTAATTCATACCTGATGAAGTTTTGTGAATATTATTTTAACAATGGGCAACACAAGTAAAAGTTTTGTTGAATATTGTTCGAATATGCAAACATTTCTTACAACAACATTTATTTTATAATCACATGTGGTCAGTTTAAAAAATGGAGGAATATGACTTTAACAGAGTGTTGTAACTGACAGTCACGTTTTTGAGGTAAAACGTTACTCATAGTAACGTTGTATAGCTAAATTTGCAGGATTTATTCTAAATTTGTAAGAGTCGAAGACCCGTGATTGGATTCTTAGAAAAACAGTAACGTTTTACTCCTAAAACGTTACTCACAACGTTACTGTGAGTAACGTTTTAGGTGTAAAACGTTACTATGAGTAACGTTTTAGGTGTAAAACGTTACTATGAGTAACGTTTTAGGTGTAAAACGTTACTATGAGTAACGTTTTAAATTTGCAGGATTTGATTCTGCATTTGCAGGTTGACGTGATTGGATTCTCAATAAACGTTATCGTGAGTAACGTTTTACACCTAAAACGTTACTCACAGTAACGTTTATTCATTTAACATCGTCAGTTCCGTCAATTTTTGTCCGTTGAATTTTTAAAATAAAAATAACCTAAAACGTTACCATGAAGTACGTTTATACTACTTTTGTAAAAAATTTAAATAGCGTATTAGTTTGGTGAATTGGTTTTTAAAATAGCTTATTTTGGTCAAAACTCCGAACTGACGATGTTAAATGAATAAACGTTACTGTGAGTAACGTTTTAGGTGTAAAACGTTACTCACGATAACGTTTATTGAGAATCCAATCACGTCAACCTGCAAATGCAGAATCAAATCCTGCAAATTTAAAACGTTACTCATAGTAACGTTTTACACCTAAAACGTTACTCACAGTAACGTTGTGAGTAACGTTTTAGGAGTAAAACGTTACTGTTTTTCTAAGAATCCAATCACGGGTCTTCGACTCTTACAAATTTAGAATAAATCCTGCAAATTTAGCTATAAAACGTTACTATGAGTAACGTTTTACCTCAAAAACGTGACTGTCAGTTACAACACTCTGTTAAAGTCATATTCCTCCATTTTTTAAACTGACCACATGTGATTATAAAATAAATGTTGTTGTAAGAAATGTTTGCATATTCGAACAATATTCAACAAAACTTTTACTTGTGTTGCCCATTGTTAAAATAATATTCACAAAACTTCATCAGGTATGAATTAAATAAGTTAAGTTTATCATATTATTAAGAGATTGTTTAAAATAAAATTAATAAATTAGAAAAATAATTTTAAAGCTATAGTAAGAACTTAACATAATATGAGTAACATTTTATAGCTAAATTTACAGGATTTATTCTAAATTTGCAGGAGTCGAAGACCTGTGATTGGATTCTTAGTAAAATAGTAACGTTTTACACCTAAAACGTTACTGTGAGTAACGCTTTACACCTAAAACGTTACTGTGAGTAACGCTTTACACTTAAAACGTTACTGTGAGTAACGTTTTACACTTAAAACGTTACTGTGAGTAACGTTTTAAATTTGCAGGATTTGATTCAGGGTTGACGTGATTGGGTTCTCAATAAACGTTATTGTGAGTAACGTTTTACACCTAAAACGTTACTCACAGTAACGTTTATTCATTTAACGTCGTCAGCTCCGTCAGTTTTTGTCCATTGAATTTTTAAAATAAAAATAACCTAAAACGTTACCATGAAGTACGTTTATACTACTTTTGTAAAAAATTTAAAAAGCGTATTAGTTTGGTGAATTGGTTTTTAAAATAGCTTATTTTGGTCAATGCTTCTTATAAGTATTAACACGCCTATTACTATATATAAAAGCTATATCATTATGGAAAAATCTAAAATGTCAGATATCCTCAAATATTAGTTACATTTTAAAGGGTTATTTCCTATTTAATATTTCAGTCATTGTCAATGAGTTTGACAAAATTTATATGATATTTCATTCTTGTCGTAATTTAAATTACTTTTCAAATTGTTAACGCTTTAACTATCATGACTTTTTCAACAAAATGAATTAGACTACCATAGATATGAAGTACATGACCATTATCTTTCAAAGCCACCATCACACTAATCATTTTTTTCAAACTTGCATAAATATAAAAGTGTTTTACATTTATTATACCTAGTTATTTTCAAAAGTGTCAAACGGGTGGTAAAAATTATGGATTAAATTAAGATAAAGTGTACAGATATTTAATTTTGAGGCTTACATTAAATTTATTTTTGATGTTAAACGAAAATTTAAGTTTATTTGTGTCAAGCATAACTTTATATGTACACGAAGTTAAAAAAGTCTATCTAACTTGGGACATTTTGTGTGAAGTATGCTAAAGGCCTCAAAGATGAGTCAGTTGGATTATGAATTTCACCAACATTTTACAAGCATATGCATAGTATATAAATACCATATATTCTACTATAAGATAGTGAGTTTGTTTTCTAAGTTATCACACTACATGCTCATTTTTTAAAAGCTTCTGTATTAATCAATATTTATTTTTATAATATATTAAATCAAAAGTTCATTCAGATCAATAACAATTTTGAGTGTCAATCATATACGTCCAGTGTAAATGTGATTTTTGACAAATTACATATTGTAAAAATAAGTTTAGCAAATATAGAAGGATTTGAGTTGAACTGCATTAAGCTTAACTTATTATTTGCTTTTGCTATATATTTGACCAAACTGATTTTAGAGTAATGGGCTAAATTTTTCATTGAACTAAGCAATGAAGTGTTTTTATTTTTACAAAACGTATTAAGTATCGCTTTACACATTCTACTATCTCTGAATATTTTAATATAAGTTTGTTCTATTATGAGCACAAATCTCATAAATCAATAAAGAGATTAGTGGGCAGACCTAGACCAATTTGGAAGACTTGTAATGATTATGTTTTTACAAAACGTATTAAATATCGCCTTACTCATTCTATTATCTATGAATATTTTAATATAAATTTGTTCTTTTAGATTTTTTTTATAAAAAGATTTTCATAAATTATATATATTAATATATTTTAGTGAAAGTGATTGTTACACAACTGCTCCATTGAGTGAATAAATCCTATGATATATGTTTCGTATAATCATATTACTATGATTGCCACTCATAAAAATTATCTAATTATAATATGTGAGTAAAGTGAGAATATTGAAATTTTATCCATTTTTATGAGACTCTAGTATGACCTACATAGTAGGTCATATATTAATTACTATGTCTCCTAATTGAATAAAAATTTATGTAATATTACATGATAATGCAAATATATCCAATAGTTTTCTTGGTGGAGGAAAATAATTCATTAGTAGTTCTTAGGATAATCATAATTTATAAAGAAAACTCAGGGTTAAAGGAATTTATTTAAGAATTCCTAACTTATTGATATGAACACTTGTGATTTTATTAGTCTGTCTAGTGCCTCAATTGGTTATAGACATATAACTCTAGGACTTTTATCACTTTTTTTTTTATGTTTACAAGTCCGTGCTTGATAGTGTGTATTATTTTCTATGACACTTGATCAACTATTGCTATAGCTACACTTATGATTAAAAATTTCTTATGTTAGACTTTATATATGTGTTGAATTTTAACATTGTCACCTTCACTGTGTAGCTAAAATTTATAATTCGAATTTTAACAATTCAACACTCAAAAGTTACTCAAAATAAAATTTAAATTTAAAACATGAATTTTATATATAAACTTCAATCATTAACTTGTCAAAATAACAACAAATCTAACAAATTTATTTTGCAAAACTGATAATTTTTCATTGTTTTCATTATCCATTTAATTTGGACTCACTTCTTATATTTCAAATTCAAGACCCACTTCTTCAAAATATTTTATTTTAAATACAATAACTCATCAAACTCATCTCAATGACTCTATATAATAATTATATAGACTAACCTTACTGTCATGTTTATCTTATGTTTAGTCCATGAATTTTTAATTGTCTTCTTTTTAAAAATTTAAAGTAACCTTTGAAAATGGAAACTTAAATTTATAGGAGGTCTACAAATATCATTTTAAAGACGATCCTATATTTTATATGTTACATGTTTTACAATACTATTGATAGAAATAAAACTTCTATGTAAACGCTCTTTTTTTCTCTTCTAACATATATAATATATTTGAAAGAGAGAGAATTAATTATAATATAATTTGAAATAAATGACCAAACTATAAATTTAGTAGGATTATCTCTACGATCGACTTCTTTCATAGTGAATAATAATTTGTACTAATGTCATCAAGAAAGTTAATTTTTTAAGTTAAAGGAAAAAGTTTTTTAACATAGTTATCATATTATAAATTTAGTAGCATTACACCTATGTTCGTCTTGCCCATTGACCGAAAATGTTGCTCGAGTGATAAACACATGTATATATAAAAAACTTTCAACTTAATTAAAAAATATTTGAATGCACCTTTGAGTGATTAAGATGTCGTCTTTAATATCTAGACACTTAATAATTAAGATTCTTTATTTTTTTTAACATAATAATAAAAAATTAAAATATGTATGTTCGTTAGTAATGGTAGAGATAGTAATGGTATTGGTGTTAGTGTCTACTGGCAAATAATAATTATGATAGTAGTTGAGATAGTAAATGTGGTTGATGTTGTAGTGACTGACGTGATGATGACAAAGTTGGTTGACTAATGTGTGGTGGTTGTTGATTTGTTGATGGTAATCGCCGACAATGCTAGTTGTGATGATGAAAATGATTAACAGTAGAATTTAGTTGTAGTAGTGGTGGTAGTAGATAGTGGTGGGTGGAGGTATGAACGACAGTAATAGAGATGACAATTGATATAATTATAATAATGAAGGTGATAAATATTATAACGATTGACAATATAATTAATAATGATGATAATTGTCGATACAAATTGTGATAATATAAGTGATTTATGGTGATTAACAATGATGATGATATAAAATAATAATGGGTAATAATTAGAGATAGTCATATAGTGACGGTAAATATTATCTCAACAAAAGTAAATAAGTTGTGAAGTGATAATAGGGGTAAAATTTTATAAGCTCCCCCCCTATTGCTCTACTCTCAGTCCCCCATTTTCCAGCAACTAGGGTTTTTTCCCCTCTTCTTTTACTGAGGGAGTTAGAGTTGTCCGATTCTTACCCATTTCCAGTTTTTACTGTTGTCATCACCACATGGTTTTTATTGTACATTTTCTTAAAAGAAGTGCAGACAAAAAAGATTGAGTCTTTCTTGTAAACCAATAGAAATTTCTGGAGGTTTTTCCATTCTTGAAGATTGAGTCTTTCTTGTGAACCAATAGAAATTTCTGGGTTTTTTTACCATTCTTGAAGACTGAGTTTAAAGATTGATGGCTAAGACTAAACCTGGAAAGAAAGACCTTGATTCTTACAGTATCAAGGGCACCAACAAAGTTGTTAGACGTAATATAACTCTTTTTGCTCCTATGATTGTACTTGTGTTTATTTCATTTCCTTATTTGATCAATTTTGGTTTTGGTAATTATTTTGTTGTGTGTTAGTAGGATAAAGATGGTATTTTTTTTATGTTACTAGCTATTTACTTGGCTCATTGAAGTAGTACTCTTTTTTTCCTTCTATGATTTGTATTATTGGTTGTCTACTAGAGTACCATCTTTTGTATAGCTCATTGGGTTTTGTCTTCCTAAATTATTTGGTTATTCTTTAACTTTTGCTTTAATGTTTCCACAATTAGTGTGTAGATGTCCTAATTCACTCCAACAATAAAAAAAGAAAGTATTTTTGTATTGTGGTTCTAAAGGACACTGCTGAGATTTGGGGTGTTATCTTCTCTTTGCTATCAGCATTTGAGTTGTTTAAGTTTTGAATTGTTGGAGGTCACTAGACTGAAGAATATATTTTTGAATTTTCTTTCTCAGCTGATGATTGTGTATTGATGAGACCATCTGATTCTGATAAACCTCCATACGTGGCAAAAATAGAGAAGCTAGAGGCTGATCACCGGAATAATGTGAAGGTCAGAGTTAGATGGTATTACCGACCCGAGGAGTCTATTGGTGGTCGCAGACAGTTCCATGGGGCCAAAGAACTGTTCTTGTCAGATCACTTTGATGTGCAGAGTGCACACACCATTGAAGGGAAGTGCATAGTGCACTCTTTTAAGAACTACACCAAATTGGAGAATGTGGGCCCTGAGGATTACTTTTGCAGGTTCGAGTACAAAGCTGCCACAGGGGGGTTTACTCCTGACCGTGTAGCTGTGTGAGTTTCTAATAGCTTTGCTGCTTAACTTGAAGCTTCTTCGTCCTTTTCTCAGTGGAAGTTGAAAGTTACGTTTGTAGTGTTTACTAAAACCTGGATACTTCGGGATGTTTTGATTTTGAAGGTATTGTAAGTGTGAGATGCCCTACAACCCTGATGATCTCATGGTACAATGTGAAGGATGCAAAGACTGGTATGCCTCCAAATGTCCTCAAATTCATCTTCTTTACGCATTAGCATGCCTTTTCTGCTTCTATGCATGGAAATTCACAAGTGTCGCTTCATTTAATGTTTTAGTTAAAAACAAATGGATATCTTCATATGTGTAATTACTTTCAGTTTAGATCAAGCGTGATGTAAGGACAAATTAATGTTCGGTCAACTTCAAAGGGCACAAAGCTTGAAAAGGCAACAATTGAATTGTGTCATGTTTCCCCCTTCTTTTTTTATCAGCCAAATGCAGCAAGTTTAATTAGTTCATCCATGCAGAGTTTATCTTCTGAAGTGGATTATTAAGTTGTCCTGCCTTTTAATTGTCCAATATCCACATTATATTACTATGTCAACCAGGGATAATAAAGGTTCATCTATGATTTTTAGTTATATGTCCAATTTCTTACATCCCATATCAAGCTATTGTCTCAACGTTGGTTGATAAACTAAGTTTCTTTAGAATTAAAACTGTGATGAGAACTGGAAACTTTTATTAGAAGTACAAAAGTACTTATCTTGGTATATAACTTAAGAAGGAAGAGCTTCATAAGTCTAAAGTATGCATTAGGAAGTGTAAAAATCTTCCTGTGTCTGTAATTGTCTCCATTGATTTTGGGTAAAATGGCTACACTCTTCAGCATCTTTTATTTAGGAAACCTGAGTCATGGAGTTTTTAGCTTAACCTAATTTTCTATATTACGATTATTTGATAACTGTATCTATAAAAAATCTTTTCATTTTGCCTGCAATTCTATTGCAGGTTCCATCCCTCTTGTATGGGCATGACCATTGATGAAGCAAAGAAATTAGAGCATTTCTTGTGTTCTGACTGTTCCTCAGAAGATGAAACCAAACGTCCTTTGAACTCATTTCATGTTTCACCACCTGATGAAGCAAAGGTAAAAACTCTGTACACTCACCTGGTAAACTTTTACATGATATTATTAGTAATATCTGCAAGTATTGTATCTCCAAGTTAGTCAACAGACTGTTGTTGTTTGTGATCGAAGGGTGACCTTTTTGCACTATGTTCTCATGTGTAGTCTGACATTTAGGATCATTATGGAAGGAGAAGGTCGCACTTCTGAAAGTGGTGCATGTTTAGTTTGGTTATATCTAATATATCAGATTCTAAGCATAAGGGAAGGAGAAAGACAGGCAAGTGGAAGGGAATCCCCAAAGTCATGATGTTACCTGCTCATCTAATGTAATCTAATGTACTGGACTACTGATATAATCAATAACTAATGACCAAGTTAAGCTTGTTTCAATCTGTCTCTGAGTTCCTCAAAGGAAGCATAAAAAAGTGCAAAGCATGGATGACCTGGGGATGGAGAATGTTGGAAGTTATAGGACTATAAGTCAGCTTGGAAAATATGATTTAAGTCCCTGCTGAACTGTATCTTTCTTCAGATACGGTCTTCATAATTACTTAGTGGGATAACTTGAATTACTCACTCTTACATTGGCTTCAGTCGAGTTTGGAACTACTTTCACTGGGAACAGATTACTTTAGTTGAGTAGAATCTCATTAGGTTAGAGTCTTTTTTACCAACATAAAGAAAACTAGCCGCTATAGGATCATTACCTATGTTGCTCAGACTTTTCAAAAATGTCAACGGGTGCATGTCGGATTCTCCAAAAGTAGTACTTTTTAAGAATCCGACACGGATGCGGCATTGAAACTGAAGAGTCTGCACAACTTAGATCATTAACATTCAATATAGAGGATTATCATAACTAGACCATTGCTCAGCTGGCCGTGAACCTACCTCAATCCTTCTTTATCCAAGCTTGTGACTGAAAATGCTCACATTATAAAAGTTGCTTGTTACCCTTAGTATTTGGGTTTTTGTTATTAGTGTTAAGGTATTGGAGACACTTTTAATAAAGTGGGAATAAAGTTACTAATTTAGGAAAAAATGACATATTTGGAGCAATTCGAAAGCAAAAGTTTAACAGTTACATGTTTAATTAATCTGGGAGTATTCTGTAATTGTTGCGTTACTAACCATATGTCCACTGCTAAGGTGCGGGACTCTACTTCCTTACTTTAATATGATGTCGGGTCATTTGGTTTTCCATCAAACTCGTGAGTACTTTATCTGATTCTTTTAGAATGTGTGGGATAACATATTTGGAGATAGAAAGGGGTTCAGATAGCCTCTTGGGTTACCTTCCTTTTTGTCCTTTGAAGATGATGTAAATTATTGCGAAGGTCTTTATAAAAGAAACAACAAACTATTGTTGCTAAGGTTAAATCTCAAAGATGAATTCCTACATATTGTTCTACTCTTCTGTGCTGTCTAGAGCGTTGCATATTACTTTCATTTCTTAAACTTAAAATTTGCCTCACATAAAACTATGTAGGCTTTGATATTTTTTAGAAGGTAAGTAAACAATGTAGGCTTTTGTATAAGAGGAGCTAAGCAGAAATCCTATATTTGTTCTTAAGTGAAAGGACTACCCATTCTTTTACAGATGAATGGCATAAGGAAATTTGTATGTCAATAATTTTGGAGAAAAGTAATCATGATCACATGCAGAACACGTGGGCAAGACCCCTTTAACCCTGTTTGGCACAGAGAGTCGTGTACCAATGCTTGTCGAAGTTGGTTTGTCAAGATATTGTGTTTTGAGGTAATTGGTGTCGATTTTTTCTCTCTGCCATGGTCATTCATGCAAGAATTCAGTGGGGAGAAGAGTAGATTATGCAGCGACATTTTTGTAAGAAACGTGGGGGGTGGTTGTTAATATGAAAACTAAATGGTATGAATGTTTGATAAATTGACAGAACGGTTGGTAGTTGTGGTGATATGGGGGACTGAGAGTTAGAAGAAGTTGATATGGTTGAGGGGAGAGATAAGTTGGGCATGAGTGTCTGAATAGTCATATGTTGAGCTAATTATTGAAACTATCTTCTAATGCGTAGATAGGAGTTAAAAAAGGCCACATATGTATCCCTTCACATCTTTCTGTGTGTCATGAAGGGGATCACATTGTTTTATATTTGTAAACCGAGAAAATTCTCTATTTCCAGCTTTGAATATCGGTGGATAAAGGTGCCTCTCCACTGTATTTTTTGACTTAACAAAAAGAAAGGACCTTCTCCACTGTCGGCCTGAATTTGAGCTCGTGACCTGCAATGTACGTACCTTTATTGAACCAAAGCTGTGGGGGGTTCCTGAAGGGGATTGCTTCATGATACTGCTATCCTATTAATTTAAGCTCTCTTTTGTACTATTGACTGTAATTTATCTGTAACTGACAAGCATTTTAGCTAAACTGCCACTATTCCCGTTGCTAGGTGGAGCCAAAGCGCAGGAAGAGATAAATAGCTGACCTTGATGCAGTATGAGGAGGTACACATTTTCTTGCGTAGTAGCACTGGCATTGTTGTATGTGTTATCAAATTGTATAGCGCTGGGAGATCACTATCCTTTTGTAAAAGCCAGAAACCTTCTCTATTTACTGTAACAACTTGCTATTTATAAAAGTTTGTGCACTAGACTGGGTTGTGTCTACTGAATGCAATTTGTGTGGCCTCATGCATGAGTTATAACTAAATATTGCAGAGTCTACCAAAAGATGTATGTTAATTTATACAAATATTGGGAACATCGCAAATTTAGGTCCCTGTTTCTATTTTGATTTTATAACTCTCCTCTTCCTGTATCTTCCCCTGCCCCCGCTAGGTGCCTGTTTCTATATTGGATTACATGTGAAGCTGGATGTATGATGACAAGCCTGTAAGAGCTGATCAAGAATCATATTGATGAATAAGAACTTTGCCTCATCTCGAGTTGCAATATATCTGGTTAGGATCTCCTGATCAAGAATCATATTACAACAACATACCCAGTGTAATATCAAACCATGGGACAGGGAAAAAAGAACAGCTTTCTAGGTTCTGCCATTGTAGGGTCAAAAATCTCACAAGTACGCAGACCTTACCTCTTCCTTAAAAGGAAGAGAGGCCTGATCAAGAATCATATTACAACAACATACCCAGCGTAACCCCACAAGTACGCATACCTTACCTCTTCCTTAAGAGGAAGACAAACCTGATCGAGAATCATATTACAACAACATACCCAGTGTAATCCCAAAAGTACACAAACCTTATCTCTTCCTTAAAAGGAAGAAACACCTGATCAAGAATCATATTCGTAGTGTACTAATTCGCTTAAATTTTCCTGGGAACTCGTTGATCAATAGTGATCTTTTGATCGATGTCCCTTGCTACAATCCTTGTATGTGATTAATGGAAGATTGAGAAACTTCCGTTGCTGAAAATGAAGTTATTTCTGCTACTTGGGCGACTTTTTGCTTTTGAGTAATCGTGTTTTTGCTTTCACAATGCCATATAACTTTTGGTTTCCCAGATGATTTTGCTCTACGAATCTGAATTTTGATTCGTTGTAGAACCAAAGATGTCAATTATTGTAAACATGTGTATTCTAGTTACCTGTGCATCAAATGCAATCTGATACTACAATAGTATTACTACACCCAATCCAAAGCTAAAGCTAGTTTGGGTGACTATATGAATCTTTTTTATTCGTCTTAAAGAGTTGAAAAAATGAGGGGAAAGGTCAGTGATGAGTTTGTATTTATATTTAAAACTCACTATGTAACGTATAAATATAATTAATAACAGTGCTTATTATTATAAAAAGTGTATACTTAGAGCTTTATTTACACAGAAAATCTAAATACTGTAGGATACATAGCAAATACCAACTGCTGACAGGTTATATTATTCAAGATTACACAGGGAGAGAGAAGAAAACAAAATCTTCTGATGAAAGCATTGGTATTAGTTTGACGACTTGGCACCTAATATTTTGGAGAGCTCTTTTATTAAAGGCTTCTCTTTAAAGTCTTCATTTTTCTCTAAACGCCATTTTTTCGACTTCTCTTCAGCCTGAGAATAAAGGTTAACATTCATTAGATAGCGATAGAAGCAAACATTGAAGAATAGTTGAACATTTGCTTACCCAAATCCTTAAAGGACTCAGCTGCTCTTTGAATGTTTCCAATCTTGGCTGAACGATGTCCTTCCCTTTCGTCCGGATATCATCAGGCTGCCCAACATCAGAATCATCCACATATTACATAAACCAGAAGCATCGAAGATGGATCAACTAAACAACACATTCCATCTAACTAAAACTGTCTATAAACTAAAAATCAAACAAACTAAGCTCGACTAGAGCAGAAATGTAGTTATGTAGACGGCAAAATTCTCTTCCTCGTGTCCACCCACTAACCAAAAAATCATAAAATCACCATCCTCCATCGATATCAGGTACTCTTCCATCTCAAAAACAATGGCTTGAGGGTTACTCCCATATGTGATCTTACCTCATTGTGCCACCGACAGAATGTTTAACGGAAATTAAGTTAGGAGTACAGATACAAACATCCATGAGAATGTCCATAAGGAAATCAAAAGAGAAAGAGAGATTATGCTTACATTGTGCAACTCTAGCTTGGATGCTGCCAAGCCAAACGTCAAGGCGGAACCACCAAAGACAAGAGCAGTGGCAATAGCAAATGCCTTTGCAACTACATTGAACAGAACTATAAACAATAAGGATCCGAAAACAATATCACCTAAGATCAAGGGGTATATCTTGTTGTATGTAAATAGATGTAAATTTTCTCAGATTTACTACTTTCTGGAAATACTTCCAGATCAAGAATTTTACAATTCTAACAAAATGGACCCAAACATGTAAAGATTTTGTCTTACTTTGAGACATCCCCATAGTTGCAGCTTTAAGTTTTTCAGGATTAATAGGTGTGTATTTATCGCGACGCAAGTCATTTGCCGTTGAGGCTTGTACAGAGTTTTCTGTATCTGGCAACTGCCACCTGGAGAAGATATTACCAACGTGATCGTCAAAAGAAGATATATAATCAAGAAGATAGAGAGGTTTACTTCATACACGCTAACTATTGAATGCTGACGCAGTCAAAAGCACACTTTCATATTAGATACAATCCCACAATATTATCCCAACACAGAGAGAGTTAATATTGCATATACAGATTCACACAACTCCAATAACTACATTCATAATTCTATAAAACAGAAAGCCAAGCAGATTAATCTAAAAACCAACGAAGACTAAGAATTCATCACATTAACACGATGAAAATAATTTTAACTTTTTTTAAGTAACAAATAGAAGAGATTTCTTTTGTGACTCAGATGAACCTTTTAGCATGGAGCACAGGAATGAAATCTATGAAGCAGTCTCTGAGAAATAGAAAGTACTATCAGAGAGTAAAATCAGCAAAAAATTTACTTCCAAAGTTGGTCAGCCAAGAAAAGTTAAGCAAATATATTAGTTTCAATTGCCCAACTTATACATCTACCAACTGATCACCCTTCTATTACTCCAGGATTTTCAATTGAATTATCAAACATCTCGAAAAAGGGACTTCACTCGCACGAATTAGATCAACGAGAAAACTCAAAACAGAAACCTTCCCACTGAAACACTTACACCAGGCTAAATCGGTACCATAGTCCATACTCGCTCTTCATTGTCTAACAGTCTTAAGTCACATATCCACTGTCTAATAATACCTCTCCGGCACCCGAACTCCATAAGACAATCAACCCATTCAAAAAGCTGGTCATGTTATTAAATCCCTTTTTTTCATTTTCTGTAGGTGCATCAAAACTTAACCCCAACATACATAATTTCAATTTTTAATCACAGATTCGCCAAACTAAGAAATTTCCCTTCACCTCTTTCACTCCAAAGAACATGAAAAGTTTAGATAAGAAGAAAAAGATAAGCCAGTAACATTTCAAGATGTTCAAAAATAATAAATTTGCTAAACCCAACATCCAAAATTCTATCTTTTCAATCACAAATTTTAGCTAAAAGAACAACAAAACTCAGTACCCATTCTTCAGTTACGATACATAAACTAACCACCAAAGACTAAGAAAAATTAGCTAAACCCAACATCCAAAATTCAATCATAAGTCGGCTAAAAGTAGGTATAAACAACAAAAAGAAACAAGAGAAAACTTAGTACCCTTTCATGAGTGAAAAAAGAGCAGAAAAGTTACCTTTTAGGTCCAAAGGTGACTTGTGGAAGAGAAACATAAGCTCTGAGAGGATTAAGAGCATCTGGAGATACAGAATTTGTCCTATTGGGGTCAGTAGGGAGAACCCATTTGGAAGTATTAGATAGTGAGGAATCTGCAGAGGAAGGAGAATGGAAAATCTTGGAAGGTAAAGAATGTCGAAGAATCTCAGGAAGAACATCAGGAGAAGATGATTCTTGATTTACAGAACTGGAATTGGAAGGAGAAGAAGTTGGGTTTTTGTTGATCTTTTGGGCAAAACGGGTAACGGCCTGTTTGGATTCTTCAAAGAAAAAAGCTCCTTCTTTTCCTGCTAATCTTCCTGCTAGAAAACTCATTCTTCTTTATCGAATAGGATTTTGGTTTAGTTGAATTTGGTACTGGGAAATTTGAATCTTTCAAGGTTATATATATACCATAACATTTTTTTTAATAAATATACTGTTACCTCTATTTCCCTTACTTACACACTAGATAAAACTTTAAACAAAAAAATTAATGATGATGAGGCAGAAATATTATTATTATTATTTTATAGATAGAAGAAATTTGACCAGTATTTTCAAAAATGTTTTTTTGTTGCGAGTTTCGGGGCGGGGCGTACCAAAAATGCTCCGTGCGCAAATTGAAGACATAGATTCATAGGGTGTAAGTTTAGAATTTGGGGCGTAAGCTCCAAATGTAAAAACGTAAGCCCTACGCCAAGGACGTTTTTTTTTTTTTGAGCTATTTTTGCTTTAAATCATGTTCTTTATTATTGGTGTAATGATATTTCTCAAATAGTAATTGTAATACTTTTTTTCTTCATTATTGATTATTAATACTTTCCTCAAATAAAAATCATAATATTTTTTCTATATATTATAGGCTATTTATTAAAATTTATTTGTAAAATTACTTTTGCTTATTTTCTTACTAATAAAATTATAAAAATGAATATAAATGAGATTACTCTCCGTAGATTCATAAGCCTTACGCCTCGTATCTCGGGACTTACATTTCACCCCATACAACATAAAACATCTTGCCTTACGTCCTTGCCTTTTAAAACACACTTTGAAAAACAACATATTTTATAAAATCTTGTCAAACAAGATAAATAAAACTAATAATTAGTGTAAGGAGAAGATTAATAATATAATAACATTGTCAACATTTACTAGTAGAGCGGCTTGCAAGAATAGAGGCTAGTAAACAGTAATTAGGTCGAATTAACTTGAGGAACAAGAAAATGTTTCAGCCCCATTTACAATGCTAATCGAAAAATGAAAATTTATCAATATGTATAATTCGATCAAATTTATTTATAATATAGTTCATATTACATATAATTGATTTTAGAAAGAATCATTTCCTATTAAGTGTATTTTCATTTTAAGAACTCAACATTTACTCTGAGTTACTCCTTATAGCTCATGGAATTGAATTATGAGCTTAACTAATTAGAGCCGATTTTTCATATGATTACTCAATTTGATAAAATTATTTAATAAAGTCACTTATTATTTTTGTTCAAATAAAGTAACTCAAATTTATGCATTTGTTTTACAAAGTAAATAAAATTATTAGAAGCCACTTTAAAGTGAGAGAAAGGGCTAAAATATTCCCTGAAGTTTGAACTTTGATTAAAATAGTCCTTATTCTTCGATATTGAATAATTATAGCCCTTCAACTATTTTTCACCTTTTTTTTTACTTCATAAATTAGATTCTTTTGTTCTATTGATAAGTCCATAATATAGATTATACAAAGATAATCATAATATGTAAAAAGTTAAAAAGATAGAAAGAGTGTTAGTTTAGAGGCAAAATAGGTACAATTTTTTAAAAGGGAAAATTGTGTATAATAGCAAACTATTAATTCAAATTAAATTCTATAAATATAGTTTGATTTAATTGTACCTCATAGCAAACTGTTGTTATTTCACCTCTCTCCTATTGAATCTCGCTCGCCACTCTCGTTCTCTCCCTCCCCTCTCTCGTTTTTTTTACAAACACAAGTGTATAAAGTGCGTTTGTGTTTGTATAAAGCGAGAGAAAATTGTATATATACATATATTTTCGTTCTCCTCTCTCCCCTCTCCCAGATCTCGCTCTCTCACTCGCCTCTCTCACTTTATACAAAAACGCAAATTGTATAAAATGCGTTTGTGTTTGTATAAAACGAGAGAAAATTGTATATATACATATATTTTCGTTCCCCTCTC